ACCAACAATTAAATGTATAAGTAAAAAAGAAAAACTATAGCTTTGAGTTTACAATCCAGTAGTACTGAATAAATAAGCAACAAAGCTATGTCAATATCACATGCTGCTTTAATCATGACCTGCCTTCATCCCCAATTAGAAAAACCTTCCAAATCTCTCCTTAAATCACAGATAAGGAAAGAATACTATGTATAGATAACTAAACTATATCAATCCAGAATCTAAATTTTACAAATATATATAATCTCATTCTCCATAAAACTGCAAATTCTTACAATGAAATATTTAAAAGGGAAAACAGCCATCACCCTTATTTTAAGATTTTTTATTATAATTTCCTGGACAGTCAAAGCATTCTCTACTGAACTGTAAGTATGATTAACCTTATGCATATTCCTTTAAAAGGGATATACTATTTGTTTATTTTTGCTCAATTTTCTTATGTTTTCTTTTTTATTCAAGTGCTAAGCCACTGCTTTTACTTAACATCAAACAACTTCTTGATGTCCTTAATAAACAGGTGAAGTTATTCAGAAGGTAGGACACTGATATGCTGCAGAAAATGCAAGCAAGCGTGAGGGAAAGCTGCAAAGCCACCTCTCCCGCTTTAATCATGCTGTGGCCACTTTATGGAACCGATTTATAACTGTTAAAAACTAAAACACATTAACTCATCTGCTCCTCCCAACACACTTAAATGGGGGTGTCATTTTACTCTCCATTTTACAGCCAAGGAAACTGAGAGACAGAGCTATTTGATAACTTATCTAAGGTAACACAGTGAGTAAGCCCCAGAGCAGGGATATAAACTCAGACAGCCCAGTGCTTTTCTTTTTTTTTCTTTTTTTAATATATTTTTTTATTGATTTTGTACAGAGAGGAAGGGAGAGAGATAGTTAGAAACATCGATGAGAGTCATCGATCAGCTGCCTCTTGCACACCCCCTACTGGGGATGTGCCCGCAACCAAGTTACATCCCCTTGACCGGAATCGAACCCGGGACCCTTCAGTCCCCAAGCCGGCGCTCTATCCATTGAGCCAAACCAGTACCGGCAGCCCAGTGCTTTTCAAACCTCAATGTATATACAATTCACCTGGGAATCGTGTTTAAATTCAGATTAAGATTCAGTGCTTCCACAGTGGGGGAAGGCAAGATTCTAACAATCTCAACTAAGATGCAGATGCTGCTTGTCTGAAGATCACTCTTTGAGCAGCAAAGTATTAGTCTATGTTAAAAAATTATGGTAAGTGGCAATAATCCTCAAACATAGGTAGTGTTCATCCACAGACAGAGGCTTATGACTAAATCAAGAGTTTCTAACTTCTGGTTTAGAACTTAATTGCTCCTTTTATTCATTATTTTTAAAAAGAAGGAAGTTATTTAGCAAAGTGTGCAAGTATTATAGTATTTGCTTTCAGGTTTTGCTCTATGAACATATTAATACTCTTACTTGATACTATAACACGTTCCAATAAACCTTTTCCACATCCCAAAACTATTTACAAATGTCCCTGAATATTTACTTTAACGTTAATTCAATCTGAACACATTAAAGAATATTCTAAGAATGTATATTTGTCTCATATATGTGGGAAAATTTAGAATTTGAGTTTAAAAATCCAGCATCTTTCTGTATTCTTGTACAAGTGATAACTGAGAGGATAAGAACACACTTTGGGAAACAGGTGGAACCTAAATGTCGGAATAGCACCTCACTCAACAATTCTAGTCAGTAGCTTTCTCTAAAAACATACAGAAATGCCCAAAATACAATTTCCCTTCATCCTCTTCAACTATTTATACCCTACGTAACCTAGATTACAGTATGTAAAGAGTATAAACCAAAACCACAAAATATTATGCCTTTGTTGAGGATGTTTTGGCCTTAGGCACTTCAATACCTAAAAACTGAGATGCCATCTAATCACTGGAAATAAACAGTTTAGCAAACTTTTATACTATCAGGAAAAGAAATATTAATACTCTCATAATATATTCAAACAAGTTTAAAGCCACACATGTAATTCAACAATTAAGTCTACCTTAAGATCACCCTGACTGTATACAATATAAAGATGGCTATATAACAACTAAAGAATCTTTTACTAATTCAACATTTAAAATGATTTAAGAGAAATTTTAGTCTGAATAATTTTGATTTTTGCCGCGTTTTCTTGTATTTCATTCAATATTTTCCTAAATGTACACAGATATACTTTCTTTTCTTCCCTGAGATACAATTAAATCTGTCACATACTTTGACAATTAGACTTGTAAAATCATATTCAAAACCATAATGGAATTCTGATGAACTACACATGAAAGTCAAAAGAATTGTTTCATTAATTTCAATCAATATGAATTCATATGTGCTAGAATTTATAAATATAGAATCCCATTTTTAATAACATAAATGAAGAAATTTAAACTATATATTCATTACAAAGCTAAAATTCTCACTGATGACCTTGTGAATCACAAAAACACTAGTAATGTTGTGTTTAATATCTGATGTGAGTAAAAATATAATACAAATTTGGACTTAGCTGTCAAAAATCCTAAAATGTCTCCACTAAACACTCAATTCCTGGACGATGACTAGATATTCCACCCCAAAGAATCCTAAGACATATAATAAAACACACAAACGTATCTGGATATCTTTGTCAGGCACATGGAAGACTGTCCCCTAACTACCAGTCCCCTACTAAGACTCCTACATCCTGTCTGTGTTTGCTTTAATCAGACAGTCACAAAGAAATGCATACAGGGGTGGGCAAAAGCAGGTTTACAGCTGTAATACAAATAAATAATTAAATAATACAATAAACTGCGTTTCACATACATCTGTAAACCTACTTTTGCCAACACATATATGCTAAAGAACTGAAGAACTGAACGATGTCAATTGCAATGGTTAATGGTACACATAAGTTGTGACAAGGGAAATCAAAGATGACGTATTTCATGTTATTGCTCACAAGCAAGCCCGAAGGTTTGCTACTTCACTAGTCTGATCATTAAATGTGAAGCGTGCACAAACTGCAATGAAAACAGAAAAATAAAGGGAAAAATAAAAACAAGTTAACTTTCTGTCTCCTAGAGAGATTCTACTTCCTCTAAAATAATCCTCCTTGACCACGTGGAACCATTTCTGCGTTGAAATGTACAGCTCTATTCCTTCAGCAACTGCAATGCTACACTACTGCTCTAAAGACACTCAACACGTGTCTAGATTTGTACACTAGTACACTAGTTTGGGTCATATGCAGAAAATAAACAGGAACCTTTAAAAACGTTTGACCTTATGTGCAATTTTATTGAAGAGTTTTGAATGGACAGCGCTTTACATCTTTTATAATAGGAAATACCAAAATACACTGCAATTTAAGTAATTATTCAGAGAGCAAATTTAACTTGACCCCTCTCCCTAAATGGCTACAGATTTGACTGACATACCATTTAGACGCCTAAAACTATTTTGATTTATTTATCCACTAAAGCAGTGCTGTTAAACAGAAATACAATGCAAAGCCACATATTAAAATTTCTAATAACCACATTAAAGTGGTAAAAATAAAAGTGAAATTAATTTTAAATCATATTTTATATAACCCAATATATACAAAGTATTATCATTTCAACATATAATAAAAAATGTTTTTAAATTGGTAAGATCATAATACATACTTTCCTTTGTACTAAGTTTGCAAAATCCGATGTGTATTTCACACTAAGAGCGTATCTTATTTTGGATTAAATTGATCAACAGCCACCAGTAGCTAGTGGCTACATTACTGGACAGTGTAGGTCATAAGTAATACTTTCAGATCTGACATACCACTAACTGTTTAAATTATTTTGCATTCCTGTTTCTTTTTGGAACTGAAATAGCTGATTACAAATATAAGTAAAACTGTTAACTCACTGGATAAATCTGAATCCGATCACCTTATCCGAGGATCCGGTTAATACACATAGAAGGAAGCAACTGGATTTGTAAAATATTATCGATATATCTCAAACATACTTCAGAGATGGTTCTCAACATCGCAAGTGAACACAACTTGTAGCAAAAATATAGGTAAGACAAGAAAATATTCTCATATCAAACCATAACACTGCCTTGTTTCTAGCGGCCACTCTCACTTTTGAGCACATATCTCTATGCAAGTTATCTACAACACTGTTTTCTAAGTTTGATGAATTTCAGAAGCCATAGAGTCACTGTTGAAAAACAAAGCACTAAGTAAGAGAAATTGAAAAAAAAAAAATGTTCAGTTATCTTAATGCACCTTACACCAACCAAGAATCTTAAATTATTCTATGTGAGTTTCACTTGATATAAATTCTTCCCACAAATTCCAATTCATCCACTGCTTCTCATACACATATTTCAAGTACCTAAATTACTGAGAATTCTTCCAAGTAAATAGGACATTTGATTAAAATGTAAATAATCCCAACAATATACTGTCTCGAAAGCAACTAAAACCATTAGCTTAGCACATGAAATTTGTCCTTAAGGCAAGTTAATGAGTAAATCAAACAGAAACAACTTATACTCTTGTTTACTGGATTTACATTTTATAACACATTCGGTGATCTCTAAATTTGGAAGGTCAGTTTAGACTGCACACAAGCAGTAACTTTAAAGCTCAGCAAAAACTGTAGAAGTTTCTGCAATTTACTTCTGAATAAACACACTACAGAAATACTACAACTGGGAAAAAAAATCAGCCCCGTTCAACTCAACCTCAGTAAAAAGCACAAAATCAGTACATTCACACAAAGTCCAAAATGTGTATTACATGCTAAAACGTATTTTTCCTCCCAACTGTATTTAATTCACCCTAGAAAAATTTTATTTAATCCACTTGCAAAGCTGGAAAGAAGCAAATGCAGCCTCTTCTGCAGCACACACATCCAAGGACGATACATCAATCTCTCGATATTTTTCCCACAATTTGAAATTAAATCAACAAAATGTGTTTCTTACCTGCAGTTAGGAGGAGGATCAAGGGTTATTTCAGCTAGCTCCTTCTGAATTCTGTTAGTGAAATGAGAACAGACAAAAAGGATTTGAGATAGTCTACAGAACAACCGGGGAATTACACTGCCCTCTACCACCAAGCAGTTAAATGCAAGGCTGGCTCTGCCTTCAGTAATGCTAACATGGCTGCTTCCTCTTTGTTCTCAGAGGCATAACCCAAATCCCTCAACAGAAACTTTGCAGCTTTTCTTCTCACTTGCTACTGTAAATAAGAAAGACATTGACACCTGTTTTGAGAAGTAGTCCTCCACTAGCACTCAGCAAAGGACATAAAACCTGTTTTAAAACACTTTTTACCAAAGAAATTCTCTCTTCAAGCTTATATGCAAATGAGACAAGAAGGGAGGAGGGAAAGCATTGGAATATTTGACAATGACTTCAAGTCACTTCTACCAAGGTAAAAATGAATAAGCTTCTGCTCTTACACAGTAATAGTTCTGACAGTATTTATCTGTAAAAAAAAAGAAGTTTAAAATTTACAATTGTCTTTACCAGTGAAAAACTTCCAAAGGACTTTGGCATCATTTAACCTTATCTGTTTTCCCTGATCTTAAGTACAGCACTTAAATTTAATAAATTTGGGGAAAAGGAGACAAGAAGATATACTATAGTGCTTTGAGAAAAGGGGGGGGGGGGTGTCAATTATTGATTTTTACTCCAATTTAAAATGCTCTCAAAGCTTAAGATGTTTAAAACGTTCCTCAAGAAGATTACAATAAATTGACAATCATTGTAAATTATTCCAAAGACTGCTGTTATTTAATAAAATAGTCTCAAGTAATTAACAATTGTTGATACAAGAGATGAAAATGCATAGGAAAATAAGAGTACTTCTGAATCATTACAAGATGCCAATATTTGATCATTTTTATATTTTCTTGTTCCTTCGGTTATGATCAATAAAAATCAACAAAATGTCAACACTGACCAATACTGTAGGTACATTTGATGTATAATTACTACAATTCAGGGATGTTCCACTAATGCCACTGATGGCGTCCCACTTAACAGAACATTATTTTCACCATCACAGGTAATAAAAATCAACAGGAGACAAATGATCTTTCACTTATACCCAACAAAATATGTTTGTCCTGCTGCTGAGCATTAAGGTGTCAAGCATACCTGTAGGTTTTACAGGGAAAAGGCACAAGGATAGTCTAAGTTTTCAATCACCGAGTGCCATCTAAAACTGTAAGTAGCACTTATCAGTTTTATTTGCCTTCACAAGAATTCAGAGGCATAACCATCATTTAACTACAAAAAAATAATACCTGGAATGCATGACTTAATGTCACATGTGAAACAGAAAGCCGGTGTGAAGCAATTTTTAAATCTGCTTTCCAATATAGCAGAGGCCTTGAATTTGCAAATTTCTAGCCAACAGGATGGTTTCTGATCACTGAGTACCATGCAGAGGCACTGCTAATCTATATAGAAGTGTCCATTTCGATGAAGAAGAGTATGACTCATAGAAAGGAACATCCTCAATGTACCAGGGCCAATCAGGGTTCACCAAATGTTCCTTGCCAACTCCTTCAACAATCTGTCAGGGTGTCAGTCCAATCTCTATTCCAGGAAGCTGTCCCAGAAGTTCCCAGAGTACAGAATAAGTTTGCTTAAAAAGTGCAATTCCAGGGAGATGGCTTATGGGCCACCCAAAAACTGACAACTCCTTCTAGCCCAAATAACACAGAAGGAAATATGTTTGAACCGCTTGCTCTTGATGTAAAAAAAAAAAAAACCAGCATAGCGCCGGGCCATGGGGAAGGGACACCCTGACAATGTGCTACACCCCTCGCCTGACCCGTTACCTTTTGGCGCTAGTGGACAGCTTCGCAGTGGTTTTGCTGGACAGTTTGGTGTTCTTCTTCTGCTGGGTGGCAGGTTTCCTCTCTTCTTGTTCCTCGGGCTCGGGGGCGGCTGGGTCCCTCTGGTCTGCGTCTGAACTTCCACTGCTGGTGCTGGGGCTCTCATCGTCCGACCTCTGCCTATCACTGGACATCTTGGTGCAGTTAGTCCTTGGAAAACTTTTATAAAAAATAAAGAAAAAAAAAGGGGGGGTGGAGAGAAGAGGAAATGTGAAGTCTAAGAAATAAGCCCATCGCCTTTTCTTCCCCTTAAGTCGCCTTTTATAACGAAAACGCTTGCCAAGTGTTCCCCACCAGCACAGCATGGCCCTGCAGGGTTGTGCAGGGCAGGGGGTGAGCCTCACGCCTGCAGCTGCAGCAGCAGCAGCAGCAGCGGGTCAGGGCTTTCCCCGAACTCAAGTTAGCAAATCCACTCGCATTTTTTTTTCCCCCTTCTTCTTTTCCATCCCATCCCATCCCTCCTCGGACAAACTATCAATTGTCTACTTTCTCAGAAGGCAGCACGAAACAGATTGGCCCAGGGAACTTGGGCAAGCGAGCCTTCATAACATATGACACGCTGTAAATAACAGACCTCGCTGGGGAGGAAGAGAAAAAAAAATGCTAGAAAGTCACTCATAGCGTCTCAATATTGACACACTTGACACGGTCGGAGCTACCCGATTCCCTTCCCGGGAGGAAAAACACACCCTGCTCCCTGCTCGCCCATATGCTTCGTTAAGGGGGCGATGCCTCCTCAGTGCACGGAAGCTCTTTAAAACCCAACACTTCACGAATTTAAAAAAGAAAAGAAAAAAAAAGAAAAAAAAACAACTACCGAGCTGCACCTCCGAGCCGTCCCCGCGGCCAATCGCGGAGGCTCAGCCGGCCCAGCCCGAGCGGCCGCCCCGGAGCCCAGCGGCACCTTCAGCTCCGCTCCCCGCGCCCGCCGGGCTCCTCGCTCACGGTCTACATCGCGGACCGACATTTTGTCCAAAAAAAAAAAAAAAAAATCACACGGGGGTGGGGGGCGGGGGGGTTAAAAAACAACACATCGGAGAGGAAAACAAACACAAACAAACAAACACACAAAAGCCCTCCCCCCCCAAGAAGTGCAACAAATTTCCGCGCCCGCGGAGGCGGCGGCGGCGGCGGCCACGCAGCCCCGCGGCCCTTTGTGGGGAGGGAGGGCGGGCGGGCGGCCCCGGGGGATGCGGGCCCCGCCGGCCCCGCCGCCCGGCCGGGCTCCGCGGACACGGGCGGCGCGGGCGCCCGGCGCGAACAAAGCTGCCGCCCCCGCCCCTCCCCCGCCGCCGCGCCCGCCGCCCCCACGCGGCCCCGGCCCCGCCGCCGCCGCCGCCGCCGCCTTACCTCGGCCGCCCGCCCGGGCCGCTCGCGCGCCGCTACGCTGTGGGGGAGGGCGAGAGGAGGGGAAAACCCTTCCTTGAGGAAATGGAGGCAGCCGGCGGGGGAGCGGGGGGGCCCGGGGAAAAGAGAAGCCGCGGAGGCTCTGGCCGGGGAGTGTGGAACATCGAAAGTCGGAGGGGGGCTGTGCAGTGCCGGGCTCCGGCCGGAGGGTGGCGCCGCCCCGCGCCTTCGGGGAGAGGAGCGGGGGGGAGGGGGGAGCTCGGCGGGGCGAGGGCGCGAGCTCCCGGCGAGGCGGAGAGGACGCGGGGGACCCCCGCGCGCTGTGGCCGCCGCCGCCCGGCCCGGCTGCTCCGGCTCCGGCTCCGGCTGCTCCGGCCGCGCCGTCAGCAAGTTCCACGGCGGCGCGCGGGGGCGGGGCGGGCGCGGCGCGCGTGCTCGCGGCGCGCGGGGCGGAGGGGCGCGCGCCGCCGGCGCTCGGCGGGCGCGAGCTGGTCCCGCGCGCCCCCTCCGCCCCGCGCGCCTCCCTGCGCTCCGGGGGGAGGGGGGGCGGTGCGCGCGTCCGCCCGCGCGCGGCCGGGACAAAGAGCGCGGCGGGGACCGGCGCGGTGGCCCCGGCCGCCCTGGGCCGCGGAGCCGGTGCCCGGGAGGGCGGGGGCGCGGGCGCCGTCTCCCGGGGTGGCTTCCGGCCTGAGCCCGCCGCCAGGGCGAGGCTGCCCATTGGACTACCCGCCCGGGGTCCCGGGTGCCTTTAGGGCCGGGAGGGCGGATAGAAATCATCCCCGGGGTTATTATTAGCCACATCCCCAGCGGGGACCCTCGGACCCCCCACTCCTGGGCTAGGGCCCCGGGCGCAGGGTGGGAAGGTTGCAACCCCCCCTGGAAGGCTGGAGGCTAAGGTGTCCTTGAGGAGGCCTGCAGGTGGAGGAGAGCTGCCTCTTGCCCCTCCTGGGAGCTAAAGGGGCGAGATGAGGTCTTGGGCATGGAGGGAGGAAAAGGGGATTCTAGATTATGGACCTGTCTCTGCTTTCTCTTTGGCCCTCACAGTCTGTAAAAAGGGGACAGTATTTGGATGTTTTGCAAACTTAAAATTCCAAGTTTTGTGTTGTTTTTTTTTTAATGGCCTGTTCAAGATTGATTGAAGTGGAGGAGAGGGGTTAGGGGCTTCAACCCTGACAGTTTGCTGCTAGGGGACTATTCTGACATGCCTGCTAGGTGCCAGTTCTGGAATGAGAAGCCCGGCTTGTTCTGGTCAGAAAGTCCACCCAGGTTGACTATGCCGTTTCTTTGCCCCAGGCACAGACGAGTCAGAAGTACAGAAACTTCCTGTTTGCAGCCCAGACTTCCCCAACTACTGAGAACTTGCTCCAGTGATGGAGCCCCAAAGGAATTTGTGGATTCCTCTCCCACAAGTGTCCAGGGGCAGAGGTGCTGGGAGAATGTGGAGTTCACAGAGGGAGTGAGAATGGCAGTCATAACAGATGAGCTAGAGTTAAAGAAAGGAAAAAAAAGAAAAAAGAAAGTAAGCCAGCATACTTAATTTTCCTACAAACAAAATGTTTGGTAGAGGGTCGCTTACAATTCTGAAGAGTTAGTTACATTTCTGTAATTTTCCAAAGATCCAAGCATTCAGTGAACTTTGTGGAGGGCTATGCTGCTAGGTGCTAGACCCACAAAATGCACTCGCTCAATCTCTGTGACTAAAGCCAGGTCTCCTTCGTTCTGTGCCTGGAGTTCCCAATCCAGAAAGGGAGCAATTGCTTAAGGTTGATAAGGAGAAAGGCTCCTCCAGTCAAAATGTACAGCATAGCTCAAGAAATGGTGTGCCTGTTAACTAGCAGCTGATTTGGCTGAATCAAAGGGAGCTTGTGGAAGGAACTTGTTAGTGAAAAATGAGACAGAAACGTCCCCCCCAACTCCACCTTTTACACTGTGACCCTACAGTAACAGCCAGCCAATCTTGAGTGTGGACTTTGAAATGGGGAAGAAAAGCTCTATGTAAAAGTGGATTCTTTTAGGAAAAGCTTTTGTAAAACTGGATTCTTTTACATCACAGAAAGAGCCTGAAGGACCCAAGGCCAGTTACTGATAGGATTTGGGTGGGGCCAGGAGATTGGGAAATAGAGAGATTTAGCTGTGTTTTGATAGCATCTTCTATAGAAGAAGCTGTATTGAGCTGAAAAGCTATGAAACTGGATTCTAAATCTCATCCTATCAAGTTTATGTGACCTCGTGGAAGTTATTTGTACCAACTTGATTTTTCACGTGTGAAAAAAGATTGTAGCAAAGGTATCTGAATCCTCTCTTGCTTAAAAGTTCCATGATTCTTCAATGAGCTTGAAATCGAAGACTTCTACTTAACATTCACTCAACAGAGTCATCAGAGTACTTTAGGAAGTACCAAATGCTGGGAAATTAAAGTGAGAAATGGGTGCAGCTCCCTCCCAGCTCTGGGAGTGGAACAGCTAGAAAAGTAGGCTATAGAATGAGAAGTGCTCTATTAAAGGAGTGAACAGAATTTGTGGAGCGTTATTATTAAATAATAATTAGCAATGGAATTATTAATTCAGCTCAAGGTCATGGCGTATGGGTCAAGAAAACTAACAATGAACTGGGCCAGAGGGATTAATAGGTGATAATATAGGTAATGCTCTTGGCAAAGTACTTGGGACATAATAGTTGTTCAGCAGTACTTACCATATACCCTGTTTCCCCGAAAATAAGACAGTGTCTTATATTGATTTTTTTCTCCCAAAGTTGCGCTAGGTCTTATTTTCAGGGGATGTCTTATCTTTCCATACGCTAGGTTTTATTTTCGGAGGATGTCTTATTTTCGGGGGAAACACCGGTAGTTACAGTCACCATGAAGAGAATAAATGGCTCCATAAGGTTAGGGAAAGTAGTGGCCTATCCCCCACAATATTAGCTGCCCAATTACCTTGATCCACCTGACTGAAAGGGTCATCCTGCTCACAGCTCTCTCTAAGGTAACATGACATCACCATCTTGACCAGAAGCAACTTATAGGTTATAAATTGTTTCTAACATGAAGTTCTTCCTCACAGGACACCCTGTTTTGTAACAATTTTCTCTCTTGTTTTTGCCATTTCTACGCTTGAAATTAGGGATCGTGTTTAGTTTTTTAAATCATCTCCCGAGGACATGCTTAGAGAAAGGGAGAGAGGAACATCAATCAGCTGACTTCCATATGTGCCCTGACCAGGGATCGAACCCACAACCCAGGCATGTGCCCTGACCGGGAATCAAACCCACAGCCTTGCGGTGCAGAGGACGACACTCAGCCAACTGAGCCACTCTGGCCAAGCAGGATAATGTTTTATAAGCACTTCTGAGGGTGTACAAATTTGACCTCATGCGAATGATTCCATAAAGCGTGTAATAAAAGAATTTCCCATATGACTTCTCAAAACACTAGCACAAAGCAGTACCACACCAGCTACCACAAGAATATCGTTCCCTCTCAGTGTCCTATTTTTCCTGCTGGTATGAGCCCTGCCAGTTTCTAACTCACAACTCTGAGAGAGTTAAGGTAAGGGGAAAGAAGTTATATCCAACTGCAACAGATACTGCCTCAATTACCTCCTTTCTCCTCCTCCCCCCCTAAAAGTAACCAAAAGGCACCTGTCATTAGGACAGACAAGGAAGGTTCCGGAACCCTTTAGGCCCCCCTTAATTTTTGGAGATGTTTTCACTGAGCCTTCATTGGACCTCAGTGATATTTATGTACACACATATGTCTGTATAACCAAGCATTCTGCAGGATCCTGTC